ACCTTTGGTTTTTCAAGACCGGGTTTCTCTCTGTAACCTTGGATGCTCAGGGACTCACTCTGTATTCAAGGCTGACCTCAAAAGCACAGAGATACACCCACCTCTGCCTTGAAAGTGTTTGAATTAAAGGCATGTACCACCGCTGGCTGATAAGTTTCTATTTCTAATGTCCTTGATAGCTGCATCTTTAAACAAGTTACTCATAGTATGAATAACTATGACTTTAGCATTGATGAGTTTTTCTTGTTGGTTGTTTTTTTTTTATTTTATTTTTTTAAACATGTTCTCCTGTTTTAGGTTCGGCTCACCTGCGATTCTGGAACCTCTTATCTAAGCCTACATTATAGGCAACACTTATTGAGCCTGGTGTTTTGTTTTGTTTTGTTGATTATTTTGTAATTTAGGTATTAAAGTTTTGTTCATACCTGGGATCTCATTGTGTACACAGGCTGGCCACACCCAGCCCTTCTGCCTCCTCTGTCTTAGAAACACTATCCCTGCTGGTGAGAACTGCTGGTATATTTCCACACATTAAAACCAGACTACCTTCTAGTCCTTCCACCTCTGCTTCTTGATTGCCTACACTACCGTAAACCATAATGACAATTTGACGTCATCCTTCTGTCTTCCAAGAATGTTTGACCCCATCAAGGACTGATTCTCTTGAAATCACATGTGTCTTCTTAGAGAGTTCCAAGTTATATTATGCCAGATGCTCAGTGTCTGTTCATCACCCCCACAGGGTCTATTTATATAAAATAGTACTGTCCATAACAAATGATTGCTGCTAGTCCCTAAATGTTTACTCCAACATGGCCCTCATCCTTTCCTCTGATGAACTGACATAGTGACAGCCCTGGTGGCCTGGCCATACACTACTTTTACCTGTCCATGGCAGTACCGGGTCTCTTAAGACCCAGCTGTTAAGTGCCTATAATTTACATGTGTAAACTCTTGACACATGTAGGGCCTCTCCAAGTATATGCCAGGTGCCCATAGTCTGTCTATCAACATAACAAAGACAAGTCATAAAATACCCAACCCCACAGTGCCGAAGTTTAAAGACCTGTACAGTTTAAAGACACCAAGGTGATCATTGCTTACTGTATTTTTTCATCAACACCACTTCAACCCTTTCCTCTGGCAAACTGACACTGTGGTAGCCCTTGGTTCCCTGGCACTGCACAGCCCCACTCCCTGATGCATGGCGTTCAGGGCTCTCAGGACCAGGGTGTTAAGCGTCTGTGATAGGGTATAGGCTCCTTGCCTGGCTCCGCCTGCAATCTCTAGGTTATCCAGTCACATGGCTCAGATGATGTTCACAAATACCCAATTTGCTTTGCTTTCCTGTATTACAAGGATTTCTTAAGTGGAACATTTGACTTTTGAAAAATGTCTTCCTGATGGACTATTTAGACCTATACCAGGTTTAAACACATTTTATGATCATTAAATATTCTTATACGTTCAAGAATAATGGCTAAATCCCTATTCATGCAACATACCATGGTCTCAAAAATGTATTTAACTACTTAGTAAAATTAAGTTTTAACAGGGAGTATCATAGTTTTTTTGAAGATATCTCTTGGAAGCACGCTTCAAATGCCCATGAATACATGACAACGATGTTTCTTTTTACTACCTCCAACTGATATGCTGATTGGTATCATTTATGAAAATTGCTTCTACAGAAAGCTGTCCTTGAATTTCTTAGCGTTAAGATCCACTTTCAGCACCCTATGGGGCCTCTGGTAGTGGATCAGAATTTTTCCTGGTGTAACAAGGGACTTTGAGAGCCCATCCCACGTGAAGGGATGCTCTCTCTTGGCCTGGACACATGGGGGAGAGCCTAGGCCTGGCCCAGGATGATGTTGTGGAATTTCGGGGGCCCCCATGGAGGGCCCTACCCTCCATATGGAGCAGAGGGGGAAGGGACTGGTGAGGGGTGGGGGGACCTTGGTCCTGAGAGCCCTGAACGCCATGCATCAGGGAGTGGGGCTGTGCAGTGCCAGGGACTGGTGAGAGGGAGAAGGGATTGACATGTGAAATTATAATTTTGTAAGAAGTAGCACAGACACTGAGATCAACAATTAATAAATGGGACCTCCTGAAACTGAGAAGCTTCTGTAAGGCAAAGGACACAGTCAGCAAGACAAAACGACAGCCTACAGACTGGGGAAAGATATTCACCAACCCCACATCTGACAGAGGGCTGATCTCCAAAATATACAAAGAACTCAAGAAGCTAGTCTCCAAAACACCAAACAATCCAATTAAAAATTGGGGTACAGAACTAAATAGACAATTCTCAATAGAGGAATCTAAAATGGCTGAAAGACACATAAGAAAGTGTTCAACATCCCTAGGCATCAGAGAAATGCAAATCAAAACAACTCTGAGATACCATCTTACTCCTGTCAGAATAGCTAAAATCAAAAACACCAATGACAGTTTATAATGGAGAGGATGTGGAGAAAAGAGGAACACTCCTCTATTGCTGGTGGGAGTGCCAACTTGTACAGCCACTTTGGAAATCAGTATGGTGATTCCTCAGGAAAATAGGAATGAGTCTACCACAAGATCCAGCGGATTACTACTCAGCAGAAAAAAACAATGGAATCTTGAAATTTGCAGGAAAATGGATGGAACTTGAAGAAACCATTCTGAGCAAGGTAACCCAATCACAAAAAAGACAAACATGATATGTACTCACTCATATGTGGATTTTAGACATATAGTAAGGGATTACCATCCTACAATCCACACTGCCAGAGAAACTAGTAAACAAGGAAGACCCTAAAAGAGACAAACTTTGTCCCCTGGAGAAGGGGAAAGGGTCACCACCATCCCCTGAGCAAATTGAAACATGGGAAGAGGGGGGAGGAAGCTAGAAGAGTGAGAAGGGAAGAAAAGGAAGGATGTAGAGGTCATGAGGAAGCAGAAATTTTGAGTCAGGTGTAGATTAGAAGAAAGGACATATGATAGGTAGGATTTTAGTTGGGGGGTGGTAGAGGAGGAAGGGAGGGAGAAGGGAACTGGATCATGTAATTCAATCTTGTTTGTAATTCAAATATATAAAAAATAGAAAAAAATTAATTTTGTAAGTAGTAAATAAAAAAAACAGAAAAAGATCCACTTTCAGCACACTTAAGGAAAAAAATTAAAGACTCTCCTGCTCTAATGAATTGAGTAGCCAACATTCTGGGCCTACCATCCAATGGGCTGTCGAATATTCCATGCTTTTCCCACCAGCACCCCATTATAAAGAACCCAACACTTTCCCCAACAACTGTCACATTTGTCTCATGAACCTACAAAACCTATCCCCCTGTAGTTACAAAGTGTAAATAGTAACAAGAGCACTCATGTATAATACTCACTAAAAATCCCATCAGACTTTCCTCAAAGGCAGAGAATTTTGTGTAGACATTTTACCATTCTGGTTCAGTGACTAAGCCCTCACTAAACCATGAAGCCCTGAAGGGAACTAACTGTCTTGGACATGATTATGCATAGGCAGAGACTTCATGCTCTTGTCCTGCTGCACACATAAGTCACTGAAAGCTACAAGGGAAAAGAAACTGTCTCATCTTGGAAGTTCACAATTGTATCTAATAATTTTTGATGTTAACAGACTGCAGAAAAGTGAAAGGATCCCACCAGTTGGGAAATGTGGAGATTTGCCGAGTACACTAATACATGCACACACTCACACAGAAACTCACACTTAATTGTAAATATAAAGACTCATTTAGATGCTATCATAGAGCCTTCATCCAGTAGCTCATGGAAGCAGAAGCAGAGATTCACAACTATGCACTGAGCCAAACTACTGGAATCCAGTTGTAAAGAAGGAGGAGTGATAGCAAAGAGGTCAAGACCATGCTGAGGAAACCCACAGAAACAGTTGAGCTTATCAAGCAGGAATTAATGGACTCCAAACTGACAGCTGGGGAGCCTGCTTATGATTGAACCAGGCCCTCTGGACATGGTGTCAGCTGTGGGGGCTTGGGCAGTCTATGGGGCCACTGACAGTAGAACCCATATTTATCCCTAGTGGGTAAATGGGCTTTGGAAGCCCATTCCCCATGGAGGGATACTCCTCTCTCAGCCTAGTTACAAGGGGGGAGGGCCTAGGCCCTGCCCCATATGAGGTGATTGACTTTGATGATCCCCAATGGGAAGACTCCCCTCCCTGAGGAGTAGATGTGGGATGGGATGGGAGATGGTGGGAGGTGTGGTCACACTAGAGAAGGAACTGGGATTTGTATGTGAAATAAGATTGTTTAGTTTAAATAAAAATTTAAAAACAAAAGGAAATTTATAAGGAAGCAGAGGTTATAGAAAAAACACAAAGCACATGTAACACTAATTACTACAAATGTATGAAACAAGTTCCCATAAGAAATCAAAGTTCACCTGAAATGACTGATGGGAACAACAAAGAAAGAGCGGTTTATCGAGTCAGGGGTGCTGGCTTTTGCTCATCATGTGTGTTTTCCCCTCCAGAAACAACCCACGGAAAACATAGTTTTTTCTACCTGTTTTACAACCACAGACACACTGCACACATACAATTGTTTCCTCGCTTATAGGAAATTGACTGCCAGAGCAAGCAATATACTATCCTAAACCTAAAAAGGCTGGCAAAATTAAGGTCCAAAGAAAAGTGGAGAAATATCGATTCTGTTTCACTATAGTATAATAAGTATTTGCAACAATAGTTTAATATTTGTGCTTCCAGAGTTCCTTAGGGTAAACTAACTTAGGACACTAACCCAAGTTTCATTGTAAAATAGGATTATATGCTCCAAGAAAGAGGGAAGTGGACAGACAGTGGTATTTCATACCCTTAATCCCAGCAATTCAGGGGCACAAGCAGGCTCATCTATGTGCATTCTAGGACAGCCAGGGGTACACACAAATCCTTGTCTTGAAATATAAAAGTTAAAAAGATTCACTTACACAAAATAATTGATCCTTACCTCTTAGGCAAATCATTCACATTAATGGTTTTTATTAGATTAGCATTTAAAAACAGTAGCATCTAGTAGACTTCTCAACTTTGTAGGCAAAAGAAATAAACTTTAGTTACAGAAGGTACTCTTTGTGGCAGTCATGCTGCTGTGCAGGATAATGGTTAGGAATGGAGTCCCAAATGCTGCTTGAGGTCTTCCAATCTGGAATATATTCATTTGAAGGCTGCTCCGCAGTGTATGTCTTATGGTCTCTGAGGTATAAGGCTTGTGTATGATGTCCCACAATCTTGGTAGGTTCAGGAATAGGGAGGGCTTCAAATGCAGGGCTTCTTCTGGGGCACAGTGCTCTGGTCCTCTGGGTCTGTCTTCTCCTGGGGACCCTCTCTCTGGAATTCAGGGGAATCTGAAATGCCTTCTGGAGGTTGTCTTGGGGCCGAGGGAGAAGGCGACAGAACTGAAGATTCACCCGAAACCACCTGAGTTTCTTGGCTGCCATCATCACTGGGTGCGGTCTTCTCACCTGGGCAGACATTTCCACGAGCAGATGATACCAGCTGGCCAGAGGATTTGCCCTGGGAACTACTGTGGGCTCTCTCATGATGCTTAGACACAGTCTTTTTTACTTTAGGGGCTTTCTTCTGATTACCTTGGATACAACAGGCATTATCTGGAATTTTGTACGTACACCCAGTAGTGTCATCTACAAAGGTCAACCCATGCAGAGTGGGGTCCGGGACATACATGATAAATGGCATCATTCTCTTGCAGCACACAGATGTTGCACCCATTCCAGAAACCCTCGGACTGGAGTCGAAGGTCTGGTCTCCAGTGTCAGGCATCTGTTGGCCCTCCTCATTAATGGTCTGGTCACCACTGGGGGACTTCACATGGCTCTCTTTAGAAGATGCCCGTTGTCCACCAGACCGAGCATCTCGATTATCAGAATGGCTGGTCCTATGATGCTGGATCACAATAGACTCCCTCCCAACCTTGATCTGAAGGTGGCTGCATTCTTTGATGACTGACTCCTGGCTGTCAGGGACTGCTCTCTGAGAACCAGGGAGGGAGGTCTGGGTGTTGAGTTTCAGTTGCTGAGAATCTGCTGGGGATTTTTTAGTCTGGTCAACAGACACAGCTTGCTGGTTCAAAGCAACAGCCTCACTTGGCTCTCCAAGTTGGAAATCCATGTCTTTTCCGGGTTGTGCCCTTAACTTCTGGGTGGAGGCTCTCCTACCGGATTCAGAGGTCATGGCTGTTTCATCACAGGTAGGCACTGCTTGGCTCCGAGCTGACTCAAGCTGGCTGGTCTCCACAGGGGTAGTCTGAAGGGTGCAGGGCTCTGGCTGAAAATCCCCCAGAGTTTCACTTAGGTCCTTACTTGGTTCTGGAACAACCTGCGGGGGCTCCTCAGTATTCTCAACTCTTCCAGGTTGGGAGAACATGTTGCTGAGATAGATTTTCAGTTCTGAGAGTTTAAGCCTCTAGTAGGCAGATATGAATACAGACAGAGACTAGGTGCAAGACCCAAGCAGCTACGGAACAGGAGGCCAGACTGCAGACCTGCACGGACCGTGATGAAGGCAGCCTGGGAGAAAAGTCCTCAGCTTTAGAATCTGGAGTCTTCTTATAGAAAGCTCAGTACGAAGTGGGCAGGGCTTCAGAGTCCAGCCCTTCGTTGGTCACGCCCTGTGTCTTGGAGCTCAAATCCAGAGGACTTGCTTTAGCTCCTTCTCCCAAATTCTTAGAATGCAGAAGGCGATTGAATAAGCCAGAAAAGGACTCAGGAATGTCCTCAAGTCATGAAGTCCAACAGGAGGAAGCTGAACTTTGGATTTTTTCCATCCATATCACAGTAGTAAGGAGTTACCCAGTTTTACTTTGATCATCCTTGAGAGAGTTGAAGGTGCAGAAAGAGAAGACATGGAGACAAAGGAATGAGCTACAAGTTGAGGTTTTAAGTCAATGGATTTGCTCTTAGGAGCTGGGTCCTGTGCAAACACCCAGGATGTAAATTTCAATATCTTATGGGTTGGTGGACAATGCAGATTCTACCTCCTTGATAACTTTAATTCAATCTGCCTTTTGGGCAGAGCCTAGCAACTGGAATGTTTATTTGAAATCCTCCCATGGACTCCATAAAAGCCGAGGTTATGGACTTCCATGCTGTCATTTCCTGAAATGCCAATGTGAGGTGAAACTCAACATTAAACTTTCCATCCCTACCCCAGTCTCAGTGCAGTTTACTGTGCTTGGCCTGTGTGTGAGAGTGGGGGAATGCAGAAAGTGAAGACAGCTGTCCCTGCAGAGATAGCTACAGGTGCAGATTTTATTCCTAAGAGCTTTCCTCTCTGAGGTCTGATGTAAACCCAGAACAGTTGAGTTTCTAGTTCTAATGAGCAGTTGATATGCAGGGTCTGTCTTTGACAGGTGCTGCAAATTTAGCCAAATTACTTACAAAAAACTGAGGATCCACATGATTACTAAGGAATACCCTCTAAATTCTTATAAATGCAACCTCTCACCCCTCCACAAATGTATTTTTTGGGCTGTGGTAGCACATACCTTCAATCCCACCCCATAGGAGGCAGAGGCAGGTAGATCTCTGGCAGTTCAAAACCATTCTGGGCTACAGAGCAAGTTTAAGGGCAGACAATTTATTACACAGAGAAACTCTTGTCTCTAAATGACAAAAATTAAAAAAAATAAAAACCTTAAAAAACTATTAAGTTCTCACAAAAAAATAAAAGTAAAAAGTACAACATAATGTAGTGTTTTGAATTCTTCTCTTCTATGAAGGAGTCTCTCAGAAGCATGGCTCTAGTTATCTGTTTCCATGACAACCTTTTCTGATCTTCATCAATATTTAATGTAAAAATGTCCTGTGTAAATGTGTAGCTGTTTACCTTTTCCCTGGAATCCATACCCACCTTGTCCTATGTTGAGGCATAACGTAGACTTTCTCACCTGAGCTGAAAGTAGAATAGTCAGCACTCTGGGACTAACATCACAGGATTTATTGGCCCTTTATGCCTCACATATACTTTCCAACCAACCCCTTATCATTACTCTCTCCATCCCTTCTTCTCCATTGGGGGGATTTACTGATCTCTTCTTTGGTGAGGTAGGGATCCTGAACATCACTGGGACAAATGAATTAGCTACAGATCCAGATATTACACCAAAGGATTTTGCTCTCAGGAGTCGAGTCCCTGTGTAAACACCCAGAACATAATTTGTAGATCTAATCAGCTTCGGAGCCTCACAGACCCCAGCTCCTTGGCAGTTGTAATTTAATCAAAATTACTTCTGGTGTGAAATATTGAGAATTCTTTGGATCACTTTATCATTGATAATACAATTTTTTGGTTGTTGATTGATCTGATTTTTGATACAAAGAGGACTCTTTCTTTAGGCCTGGCTAAAAGCCAATTCTGGAAGCTCTTGCTTGAGCCTAGGATTACAATGGAGAACCAACAGATACTGTATTTTGTTTACTTATTTACTTAGTTTTTACTTGTTTTATTATACATAGACAAAGGACCTGGTTATGTTTCCCAGGTTGGAAAAGTCCCTGGACTCAAGCAATTTTACACCTTAGCCTCCTTTGTACCTAGGGCTACTTTCATTCCAGCTGAGAATGATCAGAGATTTAAGGCTGTCACCCTCTGTGGCCCAAACTTCCTTCCAGTCTTTCTACCTCTGCCTCCCCATGGCTCTTAGTGTTCCTCCCATAAACCACTACTCTGAGAAAATAGTGCCATATTTTTAAAATCCAGGCCACCCTCCCAAGAATGTTTTACCACACTACCGCACCCTCTAGTGTGTCTGAATCACCTAGCCAAGGACACAGGACTTCCAGGCTGTCATTTCCTGAAAAGACACTGTGAGGTAAAACAAAACATTGAACTTTCCATCCCTACCCCAGTCTCAGTGCAGTTTACTGTGCTTGGCCTGGATGTGAGAGTGGGGGATGTAGAAAGTGAAGACAGCTGTCCCTGCAGAGATAGCTACAGGTGCAGATTTTATTCTTAAAGGGCTTTGCTCTCTGAGACCTGATGTAAAAGCAGAATAGTTGATTTTCTGGTTCTAATGAACAGTTGAGATGCAGATTCCCTCTCCTGGACAGCTGTATGTTTAACCACATTGCTTACAATATGAAAAACTGAGGATCCATATGATCACTTTAGCATTGATGATAGAGTTTTTATTGTTGTTGTTCATAGACCTGTTTTTTTGATATGTGGATTGCCTGCCTAGGTCAGGCTCACCTTCAGTTCTCGAACCTCTTGCCCAAGTCTTCATTTGTAGGTGGGTCTAATTGTGTCTGGTGTTTTATTTTCTTCATTTACCCATGATGGTTTTGTATTTTTGGCTTAAAATGGTGTTTGTACAGGAGATCTTCATTGTGTTGCGAAGGTTGGCCACAGCTGCTCAGCTTGAACCAATCCTTGCCCTTCAGCCTACTTGTATTTAGAGATACTAACGATGCTGGTGAGAATGGCTGTTTTTTTTTTTACCATATTGAACTCAGACTACCTTCTGCCTCTGCCTCTTGATTGCCTACAATATTGTTGCCCATAGTGGCAGCTTCTGATGCCTTCTTTTCCATCTTCCAAGACTGTTTGACCCCATCAAGGACTGTCTTGAGAAAAAGTTTGTCATCGGACAGATCTAAGTTATGCCTGATGCTAATACTCTGTTAATCACCCTCCCACACACAGAGCCTGTTTCTATGAAACATCAGTACATTCCAATGACACATCCTTGTCCACTGGTTCCTAAATGTTTTCACCAATACAGCCCTCAGCCTTTCCTCTGGGTAACTGACACTGTGCTAGCCCTTTGGTGACATGTCCCTGTGCAGCCCTTTCCCTTTGTCCATGGATGTTCAGAGGCTCTCAACTCTAAGCTGTTAAGCTAAGTGCCTGAGGTGTTGTGTAGGCATACTCCATGGCTTCCCCTTAATCTCTATGCTGTCCAGCCACAGAGTCAGAAAACAATTATTAGAAATTTATAGGTTTTGGATTCCTGTATTCCAATCTCCCTTTGGGAAAAATAGCATATATCAATTGAATAAACATACTTCATCTTGAAATTTTCAAATCTATACCATATTTTAAATTGAATTTTGGTCATTAAATATATTTATAGAGTCAAGTGTAAAGAATAACCCCTAAAGTCTATGAATAAAACTTGCCTGTGCTCCATAAATATATTTTGCTGGGCTGTGGTAGTCCACACATTTAATGTCAGCGATTAGGAGGCAGACACAGTCAGATCTCTATCGGTTCAAACCCTGTCTGGTCTACAGAGCAAGTTCAAGGGCAAAGATATTACAAGAGAAACTTTTGTCTCTAAATCCCCCCCTATAAAAAACAAGAAGTCAAAAAAAAACCTAAAAAATTTTTAAATTCTTAGAAACATTAGAATAAAAAGTGCACCATGATGTGGTGTTTTGAATACTTCACTTCCAGGAAGGAATCTCTTAGGTGCATGGCTCTGGTTATGTGTTTCCCTGACAAACTTTTTTGTTTTTCCTATTTCTTCCTCATCAATATTTAATGTAAATTTTTCCTATGTAAATGTTAATCTGTTCACTTTTCACCTAGAATCCATATCTTTCCCTTGCCTTAAATTGAGGTATAATTTAAACTTCTCAACAATTAGCATTGACAATATAATTTTTCATTTGTTGGTTGATCTGATTTTTGATACAAGGACTCCTTTAGGACAGGCTTAAAGAAAATTCTGGATGCTCCTGCTTTAACCTAGAATCACAGTGGAGAGCCACCAGGTCTTTTGTTTTATTAATTCATTAATTTATTAATTCTTTTTTTACTTATTTGCATTTCGGCTTATTTGTTTTTTATTTGGACAAAGGAACTTGAGATGTTCCCCAGGTTGGTAAAAGCTCCTGGACTCAAGCAATCCTCCTCCTTATCCTCCCCTGTGCCTAGAGCTACTTTCATTCCAGCTGAGAATGCCTGGAATTTTGAGGCTGTCACCCTCTGTGGCCCAAACTGACTTCTAGTCTTTCTACCTCTGCCTTCCATAAACCACTACTCTGAGAAAACTGTGGCTCTTTTTTTTAAAAAAAAAAAATCCAGTCCCTTGTCCCCTGCCCAAGACTGCTTGGCCATGCCAGGACTGAATTTCTTTGATTGGCATGTATGATCTCTAACATAAGTAGGGTTGCTCCATGTCTATGCCATGTGCCCACCATTTGTGCTCATCAACAGCACAAGGACCAGTTTTAAAATAGCCACCCCCACAGTGCCCAGGTTTAAAAGTCCTACACTGTTTAAAGACACCTGAGTGACCATTGCTTCCTGTATTTTTCATCAACACCACTTCAGCTCTTTCCTCTGGTGAACTGACACTGTGGTAGCCCTTGGTACCCTGGCCCTGCACAGCCCATTTCCTGCTTGCATGGGGTTCAGGGCTCTCGGGCCCAAGTTGTTAAATGCTTGTGATGGGGTGTGGGCATATTGCCTGGCTCCCACTGCAATCTCTAGGTATTCAGTCACATGACTCAGATGATGATCACAAATACCTGATTTGCTTTGCATTCCTGTATTCCAAGGATTCCTTAAGCAGAACATTTGACTTGTGAAAAATATCTTTGTCATAAACTTTTTACAGGTTTACTGGGTTTAAGTGGATTTGTGATCATTAATTTTTTTTTGAATTAAGAGTAAGGAATAAACCCTAAATCCTATGAATGCAAGTTACTCTGCTCTCAAGGATAAATTTTAACTAATTAGGAACAGTAAGAGGAAATTACAACAGGTGTATTGTGTGGATTGCTGAAGATATTTATCAGATATAAGCACTGAACACCCATGCACATGGCAATGATCTCTAATTATCTCGTCCTAACTCATTTTCTTGTTGATAGTTATGAGATTGCTTCTATTGGAATTTTTGTCATTTCATCTTTTTTATCAGTAAGGCACAGCTTTAGACACTCCTGCTCAAATGATCGTAGATTAGTAAGCACTCCAAGACTGCCTTCCAACGGCTTGTGCCATACTTCATACTTCTCCTTTCACCAATCCCACGACCAAGAACACAGCCCTTTACCCCAGCAGCATTCAGATTTGTCTCATGCACCCACAAATCCTAACCCCACCGTAGTTACAAACTGTATGTAGTAACAAGAGCACTCATGTATATTCACTGGAACTTACAAAATCCTTTCCTCCAGAGGGAGGAATGTATTTGTGGATCATTTGCCAGTCTGGTTCAGTGTCTAAGCCCTCACTAGACCTTGAAGCCCTGAAGGGAACAAACTCCCTTGGGCTTGATTAGGCTTAGGCAGACACTTCATGCTCTAGTCCTGCTATACACACAAGAAAGAAATCACTGAAAGCTAAAAGGGAAAAGAAACAGTGTGTCTCATCTGGGAAGTTCATAATTCTATCTAGTAGTTTTGGATGTTAACAGACTGCAGGAAAGTGAAAGGATCTTACCAGTTGGGAAAATGTGGAGACCCACTGAGTAATACATGCACACACTCACACAGAAACTCACACTTAAATGTAAATATAAAAAGGAATTTAGAAAGAATAGAGCTGAGGTTATGGAAATAACACAAAGCAAATATATCATTTACCTATTACAAATGTATGAAAATGGTTCTCATAAGAAGCAGAGTTCACCTGAAATGACTGATGGGAGCGACAAAAAGAAAAAAAAAACCTGTTTATGGAGTCAGCGGTGCTTCCTTTTGCTCACTATGTGAGCCTCACCCTCCAGAAACAATCCATGGGAAGCACAGTTTCTTCTAGCCGTTTTCAACCACAGACACACTGCACAAAATTCAATTTTTTCTGGCTCATAAGAAGTTGACTAATAAAGCAAGGAAAGTAGTATCCTAAACCTAAAATAGCTGACAAAACTAAAGTCCCAAGAATAATTTTTGAAGAAATATGAACCTTTTTCACTGTAGTATAACACTTGCAACAATACCTTAATATGAGTATTTTAGATGTTCTTTGTGGAACCTAATAATAACCCAAATAAATTTTTGATTATATATTTCTAAATAAATGGAAATTTAAAAGATTCACATATGAAAAATAATTGATCCTTTGGCCATATGTTAATTGCTTCATATTAATAATTTCATTAGTTTAACATTTATAAAAATAGTGCCTAGTAGTGGTTCTCAAAATTGCTGGTAACAAGAAATATAATTGTATTAGAGAAGGTATTGTTTGACTCTTGGTTCCCAGTCAGGATGAAGCTTCAGAGTGCCTTTCCAAATGCTTCTTGAAGTTGTCAAATCTACTAAAAGATTGAGTGCAAATCTTGCAACTGTAGGGGCGTAAACCAAAGTGCTTTCTCCTGTGACTGAGGAGGGTATCTAGCTGGGTAAATTTCCACTTGCATTGCTGCCAATTACATGCATAGGGCTTCTCCCCAGTGTGTATTCTCAAATGGTCTGTAAGGTGATAAGACTGTGAGAAGCATTTCTCACAATCATCCTAAGTACAGAAATAGGGCTTCCTAATGTGAGTCTTGGTCTCCAAATGTGAATTGTCTTGCTGAAGATGACCCTGCACAAAAACAGAAACTGAAACACTTTTTGAAGGTTGTCTTGGGGCCAAAGGACCACCTGAATGAAGTGAAGAATTCCCACTACTAATGGAAATCACCTGAGGATGGAGGCATTCTTCAACACTGGGTACTGTCCCTTGACCTCTGTAGACATTCTGACTGTGGGAGGATACCAGCTGGCCATAGTGGTTTATCTGGGCACTATTGGGGTCTATCTTCTGCTGTTTATAGAAAATCTGGTATGCTCCAGGGGCTTGCAAGTGATTCTGAAAGGTCAGGTGATTATTTAGGATCCTCTTATTATATCCACAAGTGTGGTCAGAAGAAGAAGTCATCACCTGACTGGGATGGCAGGCCTGGCTATCATCTACTGCCATCTGACCCTCATAGGGAAACTGCTCACCCATTCTGGTTGTTATCTGACTGCAGTTGAAGGTCTGGTCCCTAGGCACAGGCATCTCTTGATCCTTCTCCTTGATAGTTTGGTCAAACACAGAAGTAACTAGATGGTCCTCATGGCAGGTCTTACATGGCCTCCTTCAAGAGGTGCAGGGTGTGCTCCAGAGTGAACATCTTGATTATCACCATGGCTGAGACTCTGTCTTCCACACACAGCTGTACTGTGAGTCACAAGAGTCTCATTCCCACTCAGGGTCTTCACCTGGCCGCCTTTTTTGTAGACAGTCTCCTTGCTCTCAAGGACTGCTCTCTCCTGGAAATCAGAGGTGGAGGGCTCCTGGGTGTTGAACTCTATCAGCTGAGAGCCTGCTGGGGATTTAGTCTCACCAGCAGATACAACATGCTGGTGCAAAGCAACGGTCTCTCTTAGCTCTCTAAAATGGAAATACATGACATTTCTGGAGTAGGCACTTGAGTTTCGCGTGAAGGCTCTTCTTGGGGTGCTACAAAATCCAAATGTCATCACAATTTGATTCCTAATACACATCACTTGTCTCTGAACTGACTCAAGCTGACTGGTCTCCACAGGGGTAGTCTGAAGAGTGCAGGGCTCTGGCTGAAAATCCCCCAGAGTTTCACTCAGGTCCTTACTTGGTTCTGGAACAACCTGTGGGGGCTCCTCAGTATCCTCAACTCTTCCAGGTTGGGAGAACATGTTGCTGAGATAGATTTTCAGTTCTGAGACTTAAGCCCTTAGGAGTAGTCAGATATGAAGACAGACAGAGACTAGGTGCAAGACCCAAGCAGCTACAGATTGTGAGCTGGAGGCCAGGCTTCAGACCTGCACAGATTGTGACAAAGATGGCCTGGGAGAAAGGTCCTCAGCTCTAGAATCTGGAGTCTTCTTCTTATAGAAAACTCAGTACGAAGTGGGCAGGGCTTCAGAGTCCAGCCTTTGATTGGCCATACCCTGTGCCTTGGAGCTCAAATCCAGAGGTCTTGTTTAAGTTCTTCCTCCTCTAAGTTCTTAGTATGCAGAAGGTGATTGAATAACCCAGAAAAGGACCCAGGAATGTCATCAAGTCCAACAGGAGGAAGCTGCACTTTGGATCTTTCCATCCATATCACAGTAGTAAAGAATTACCCAGTTTTACTTTGATCATCCTTGAGAGAGTTGAAGGTGTAGAAAGAGAACAACACATGGGGGCCAAGGAATGAGCTACAAGTTGAGGTTTTAAGACAATGGATTTGCTCTTAGGGACTGAATTCTGTGCAAACACCCAGGATGTAAATTTTTATGTCTAATGGATTGATGCACAATGCATATTCCATCTCCTTGACAACTTTTATTTAATCTGCCTTTTGGGCAGAGTCTAGCATCTGGAATATTTACTTCAACTCCTCCCATAGATACTTGGAAAGCAGAGGGTGTTTGAGTCACCTAGCCAAAAGGATGCAGGACTTCCATGCTGTCATTTCCTAAAAAGCCACTGTGAAGTAGGATTCTACATTGAAGTTTCCATCTCTACCCCAGTCTCAGTGCAGTTTACTGTGCTTGACCTGCATACGAGAGAGGAGGATGCAGAAAGTGAAGACAGCTGTCCCTGCGAGATAGCTATAGGTGCAGATTTTATTCCTAAGGGCTTTGTTCTCTGAGATAAGAGAGCAATCCAGAGCACTTGAGTTTCTGGTTCTAATGAACAGTTGAGATATGCAGAATCCCTATCCTGAACAGCTACATATTTAACCATATTACTTATGGTATGAAAAACTGAGGATCCATGTGATCACCTAGCATTGATAACAGAGTTTGGTTGTTGTTGGTTGATCTATTTTTTGATACATGGTGTATCACATTAGTTCAGGCTCCGTTCCAAATCTGGAACCTCTTACCTAAGGTTTGGATTATATTTGAGACTCACTGAGCCTGGTGTTTTATTTGTTCTCTTTTGTTTTGTATTTGCAATTTAAAATTTTGTATATACGTGGGATCTCGTTGGTTGCATAAGCTACTCAGGACTACTGAGCTCAAGTCAGTCCTTGCCCTTATGTCTCCCAATGTTTTAGAAATACTGTCATTGTTGGTGAGAATAACATATGTTGAGAGTCACAATGGCAGTGTGGTTAAGGCGCTGGACTGGAAAATGGATGGTGTTTTTCACCATATTTAACCCAGAGCCTCTGCCTCTTGATAGCCTACAGTATTGCAGTCATAGACAACTACTCCTATCCTAGAATGGCAGTTTTCGATAACTTCTTTCCCCTCTTCCTAGATTGTTCCCCTCCCCCACCACCCAGGACTGAATCTCTTGTAATTACATTTGTGTCATCAGACAGACCCAAGTTATGCCAGTTTCTCCTAGTCTCTGTTCATCACCTCCACAGAGCCTGTTTCTATAAAATATCAGTACTGTCCAAGGACACATGTTTGTCACTGAGTCCTACATGTTTTCACCTACGTCATTCTCACCCTTTCTTCTGGGGAACTGCCATTGTTCTAGCCCTTTGGTGACATGGCCCTGTGCAGCCCTTTGTTCAGGGGAGTTCAGAGTCTCTCAGGTTCAAGTTGTTAAGCTAAGTGCCCGGGGTGTTTGTAGGCACACACCATGCTTGCTGCCCAGTCACATAGTCAGGAAAAAAGTTATGAGAAATATAGTGGCTTTGGTTTCCTATATTCCAGTCTCCCTTTGGGTGGGTGGGGGGAATAGCACATATTTGTAATTGTCAAATCTATACTATATTTCAAATTGAATTTTTGGTCATTAAATATATTTCTGGAGGCAAGAGTAAAGAATAACCCCCAAACTCCTATGAATACAACTTACATGCTCTCCAAAAGATTATTTCAACTTCTTAGGAATGGTAAAATTACAACATGACCATGGTATAGCACTTGTATGAGTGAGTCTCTCAGGTGAATAGTTCTGGTTATATGTTTCCATGGCAACCATTTTTTGCTTCTTTCATATTAATTTCCTTATCAATATTTGATGTATTTTTTTTCTATAGAGGTGTGAATCTGTAATATTTGCAAATGGATAAAATAAGTGACAAAGGACCAAAGTGACCTCACAAAATTGTCTTAGCGACAGAATGTAAAGAAAATGCTGTTGATGGATTTAGTTACACTGGTTCCTTTGCTGGTCATGTGACCATTCATTTCCAGGAACAATTTATGTGAAGCAGGGTTACTTCTGGCTATTTCTCAACTACGGCCAAACTGCAGTAAATAGAACTGCTTCCTTGAATCATAGGAGGTTGACTGACACCACAACAAATTACTGTCATACACTGAAAAAGAATCCGGCCTATTATTAAAATACCTTCACTATCTTAATACTTGTATTGTTGCTGTTATTCAGTATAATTGAACAGGCAGTATGCAAATTTTAATATCAATGACTTTACACTATCTTAAACAAAAGACAGATTAAAGGATTCACTTTAGTGTTGTGGAGCACACCTTTAATCTTAGCACTCCAGCATCAGAGACAGGAGGATATCTGTGAGTTCTTGAGTGGAAAAAAAGGGGATCATCTTTTCAAAATGCAAAATAATCCATACTTAGCTATTATGGTAGATGTTGAGTATTCACTATTTTAGTTTTATTATTCACAAACAGCTTTATGGATTTCCTAGGAGTTGACAAACAAAGTTCTGGATGGGAAGAAATATGTTTAGTGGGGAAAATATTCCTTTTGGACAGGCAGGGTCCAATGCTAGCTCAATCTTGTTCTTGGAGTCTGCCATTCACCTTGCAGTTTTCTGACCTTGCAAAGATGTTGTTGCACTTGCATGTAGAAGGAACCATTCCCCATTGTGCGTGTGAGCTCACCTGATTGGGAGAACTTCCTGTGCATCCAGGTGTCTTCTACACACAGGACTTCTCTTCAGTGTGTTTTTTCCTATGGACTCTGAGGTGCTAAGACTTTCTGTAGGATTTCCCACCACCTTACTATGCACAGAAGTAGAGTTTCAACCTGTGAGGCTTCGTTTGCAACACATGGCTCTGGGTCTTGAGATCTGACTTCTCTTGTGGATGCTGTCCCTGGAATGAAGGTGAAACTGAAAAGCTACCTGGAGGTTGTCCTGGGACCAAAAATGAACTTGAAGTGTAAATGGTTCCACTCTATTTTGGATCTATTTAGTAAAGGAACTCATTGGAAGATTTCAGCTTTCTTCACATTGGGTACTGTCATCTGACCTCTATAGACATTCTGACCCATAGAGCTTGTCATTTGACCACAATAAACGTTTTTTTTTTTTCACAACTGGATATTGCATTTTCCTCCTATAAAGTGGTTGTTCAAAGATGGTGGTTACCATCTGACTCCAACAGAGAGTCTCATCACCAACTGAATTGCTATCTGACTCTCACAGAGATTAACACCACTTTTGGCTGTCTTATGATCTCTATAGTGGGTCAGGTCATGATTGTGGTTTGTCATCTCAGCCCCCATTGAAAGCTTGATTTCCACTGGTGGCATCCTTTGGTTTGCCAGGCCCTTTGGCATTTGGAGCCCAACACCTAATGTACCTCTTTAAGCTCCTCCTTGGAACACAGAGGGTGACTGAGCACTTGCAAAGGAGCCTAGAGGTTCCTGTTTTCATTTCCTGAAGTCCCAACATAAGGGGAAACACTACATTGAACCATTTCTTTCTTATCATAGTACTAAATGGTGAGTTTTTCTATGGTTTTCTTGGATGGCAGAATTGAGGATGCAGAAATTGAACCTTTTGCCTAAGAAGTTAGCTACAGATATAGATTTAAACCCAAAGAGTCTTACTCTTAGAAGCTGAGTTCTTATGAGAACCATCAGGACATGAATTTTGTTCTAACCAGCTTCTGAGACATCCAGAATACATTTCTTAGACAGCTTTAAATTAATCAAAATTACTTATGTTATGAAACCTTAAAAATTCAATCAAGTTATTTTTTAATTTATTTTAAAAAAAATACAAACTGTGATCCTCCTGCTTCAGCCTAGGATTACAAGCATGCCACTTGACTGATCTTTTCATTTTTTTTCTGTTGTTGTTTTGTTAAATTTTGGTTTTGACCAGGAATCATCTAATTTTGTCCAATGCTGTCTGGGTTCACCTCAATCTCTGACCCAAGCCATCTTCTCTAAAGGCCTCCTTGAGTTTACCCCTGCCTCTGGTAACAATGGCTACCATTTTTTTTTAATTTGTAGACAAAATCACTTTATGTAGCCCAAATTGGCCTCCACCTATGCACTAATCCCTAAGGGTAAAAGGAGCAGGCAAGCACCACCAGCCCCAAGGCATACTGGCAGGTGTTGATGTCCATCCTTTCCTGTTACCCAAACGATTTTACTTCATCCAGAACAATCAGTCCTAAATTTCTGTGCCTGACCTCTGACCCCAGTCAGACTGCTCCAAATGTGTACCTGTCACCCAGATTCCCATAAGCCCCAATTTTGCAAGGACCAGTCCTGTCCAAGGATACCTGCTTGCCTCTCAGTCTCAAAACTTTTAGGCAATATAATTTAGACTGGTGTTTCTGGGTGAGATGGCTTTATTTATATTTTTCACACCTTCCATAGAAGTTTCAGGGCTTCCAGGACCAAACTATGATTCCACATGTCTTAGGTCACTTCAAGGATGCAGCCTGGATCTTGCTGGCTCATAGCCCGGCTCCCATTGTCATCTCCTAAGAAGCCCAGCTGCAGAGACTTAGCAAATGATTTTGAATAAGTGATGGAATTTGAGTGTCTTGTATTCCAATTCTCCTTTTGAAAAAATAATAGATATGAAGTGTGCAAACTGACTTCATATTGTTGTTTTCACACCTGTATGATGTTTTTTTTAAAAAAATTAATTTTATTATTAGAAAATGATGTAGAACCAAAAGCAAAACTTAAACTTGTCTACAAAAAATGTTTTAACTCTTTAGGGACATTAGAAACTATTATACAGTAAGGTGTGGCAAGTTTCTTCATTCTTCATTCAAGAAGGTATCTCTTCAGAAGCATGGCTCTGAATGTCCATGTTTCTGTGACGACAATCTCTTTTTGTTCCCCATCTCCTAATTCATTTGCTGATCTATACTTTATGAAAATGGTTTCTATGGATATGTGAATCTGTTCATCTTTTCCCCACCTTAAATATCCACCATCCTCAGAGGTAGGAAAAAAATTTAGGCTTTCTTGGCTAAGATGCACAGAGATTACCCAGCACTCTGGGGGAGGCATTTTCAAATGATTTATTAACACATTTTGCCATACACCTTCCTTACACTACCCAAACATTCCTAATCTCTCCATTTGTCTCTCTGCCAATCTCTTGAATACTGATAAAACCATTTTTTTCCCACTCCAGCTTGCAGGTCTGCTTCTCCCACCCTCAAAGTGTTTCCTCTGTGTAATTACAGACTTTAATAACAGCAACAAGAGTCCTCACAAATCTCAACTAATAGGCTGAACCCCACCCCTCACATTTCCCAGCACTGAAGTGACACCTGTGGACTTGATTAGGAGTAGGTGGAAGCACCTGACCCTAGAGGAATTAACAATCTTGTTGTATTGTACAGACATGAGACAGATCATTTAAAATGAGTATGTAGAAACACTGTATTTCAACTTCTAAGTTTATCATTTTATTTGTTTATTTTGGCAGTCATATAGAAACATGAAGTGGTACTATAAAGGGCAACAAATGTGTACTTGT